TTCTTTTAACAATTAAAAGTTTTTTTTGCTACATTAATTTTATTACTATAAATATTTTGCTACATTTATTTTTTTACTATTTCAAGAAAAACGCAATTAAAAAAAAATATTAGGAGAAACTCTTTATAAAGCATTTTTTTAAAACGAATAATTTTTATGAATTTTTTCAGAACTTTTTGAAAATATATATTTAATAACGTTTGTAGACATCTAAACTAACTTATTTTGTAAAAGAATCTGATTTTTTTTATTTTTTTATTTTTTTAAATAAAAAAAATTAATTTTATTTACCTTAAGGCGTTTTGAAAAACATCTGCAGTATCAATGATACAACAAATATGTTATAAATAAGATAATTTGACACAAAATTTACTGGTACTAAAAATTTAAACTGGTACTAAAAATTTTAAAAACAAGAAAATTAGATTCACTGCTTGCTTGAATTTAAAACAAAAGCAAATTTAAATATTTCAATGGCCATAGTCATAACAACATTTTATGACTATGCATGAAAAAAATATTATTGGTATTCTTCGCTGCCACCATTGCAATCGCTTCCGATTTTTTGTAATTCTTTTGTAATTAAAAAACATTTATTGTTGTTTTTACTAAAACTTTTAATTGTAAATTTATTTTGCAATGCGACTTATGTATAAAGAAAGTTAATATTAATTATAAAATTGAACTTGCAATATATGTGAAATATGAAATTTACAAGCTTGTGTTTACTATTTTCAAAATCATTTTTCTTTTTCTTTTTTTAAAACATTTCTTTTGATGACACAATTTATTATATGAAGGTGAAAGGGTTCATCCATAAAAGACGTCAAATAGAATTTAGATAATAATTAGAAGTAGTGTATTGCTAAAGGTTACAGGCGGTATTTTGTTTTAAATTTGGCGCTATCCAATTAATGTATGCTGCGCTAAAGTGGAGTAGAAGAAGAAAGAATGTAAGAAAAGGTGCCACACATTTCCAGTACACATTTTAATCTCAGCAGAGGGGAGATGATAACTTGATAAAATTTTTTAACAAATTCTCAATTTCGTCAAAACGCTGTATCAAATTTATTCCTAGTTAACACCCTGTAGTGATTAAAACTCATATTCGTTATTTATTATTGATTATATTCGTTATAAATTTGCCTCTTTCTATTTCATACTGTTTTTTCATACAGAGGTTGTGTTCGCCAAGGTTTGTGTTTTGTAGTTAAAGAGTTGAGAGACGGTTGTAACTACATTAAAAAAGAAAAAAGTAGCCTACTATAGTATCCCTGTCAATCTTGGTGAGGTGAATATTATTATAAAAAAGAGATTAAATTATTGACAATGAATTAACTTAAATTATATGATGCAAAAACATTATTATAAAATAAGGAAAAAAATTAAGTTAACTAGAATCCTAGAAATCTTTTTACACAGGTTACTTGCTCATATTTTTTATATGAATATTATTTGTTTTTTAACTAAAGTTACTTGCTTCGAATTTTTATATGAATTTAATTTAATAAGATTTTTTGAGATTTTTTTCTCTCATCTGTGAATTTTGATATTCTAATTCTACTGCTGATTTGTTGACGGTAATAACCGATAGGTTTTATTGTGCATTAGATGAATGTGGCAAGGTTAAGGTTATTGCTATCAATATTTCTAAAGTCTTTGATAAATTTGGCCTGCTGGTCTTCTCCATAAGTTTTCTCCTTACAGTGTATCCTGACTTGGTCGGGAAGCGGGAACGATTGCTCTTGAATACTAACCACAGAAATTATATTTAGTTGTGAAAAACTGGCCAGGTTTTTTAGTCGTTTTGAGAATAAAAAGAATATTCGCGAACACTAAAAACCCGCCAAATTAACAAACAAACTAATTCCATTGGTTCAAAAAATACGCTGACTAAGCAAAATAAAGTTCTAGAGTATTCTGTTGAAATGTTTTAGAAATTGTATTATTCATAATTTGTTAAGTTTTGAGATTTCTAGCATAAATTATATAATTTTATAATAAAGAATATATTATCAATACCATGGCTTATTCTCGGAGCCACATCTGCAAAGCCGTAAATCTTATAAACTATTATTAATTGTTTACAAAAATAAATGTTTTACAATATATATTATTTAAATTGTCAAAATTTTGAAAGCTTATTATAAATTATAGATTTTATTAGTATATTCTTATTTTATATGTAAATGTAATTTTATGTATCTGTTTTTTATTTTAATGTAATCTTTTAAAGCAATTTTAATGAAGTTATTAGCAATTATTAAAGTTAATAAAACTAATTATGTAACAAACATATAAGAAGTTTCTGGTTACTAAACACAAACAACGCATACAAAGTAACTTGCGAATGAACAAGCACCGCACCTGAGGTCACGACAGAACACAAATATATATAGCAAGTTATTAGATATAAAAAAAGTTTTTAGATACTGGTTTACTTACTCTAATTATTTTCGCTTCAGTTGCCATTCTTAAAAACTCGTTTTACTTTTTTCTGCTTCAAATACTAATTAAAATTAAAAAGCCCACTCACTAAACATCATTAGCGATATTGTAAAGCAGTTTCGCTTCTTCGTCATAAAGTATTTTTAACCTTTTTAGTTGATTTCTATCTAGTTAATTTAGTTTCTATAGTAATTCAACAATTTAATTATTTCATTTGTTTATCTTACTAAGAAGAATTGTTTCAAATATGTTAAACTTTTCAAATACACGAAACATAAAAGAGGTATTAAAAAAATTAACTTTTTTATTTATAAAATAATTTTGCTTAGATAAACTAAAACTTGCAAACTTAGATAAATAAAGAACATTTGTTTCCTTTTTAAACAATTGTAAGATGTTACTTTATATAAAAAATGTTGCCTAATTTTTTGACTTGATGAGTCTTAATTTTGATTAACTCTTACTTTCTTGGAAACCATATACCAAATCCATTACAAATTTATCTGCTAAATTTCTTTATCATAATCTCTTAATCTAGCATCTCTTTATCAGGATCGCGACTTTTTTACTCCGGATTCTATTCTTTATTTCTGTAAATCTTAAATCTGCCCTTGTATGGAATACTGTTGCCATATCTAGTGTGGATCTTTGAATGATTTTCTTTATTTTTTAGACAAGGTGCAAAAACACATTGTAAAAATAGTTGGACCAGCTCTTGCAACCAACCTTCAACCAATTTCGCAGTTGTAACATTTCTTCTTTTTCTCTTTTCTATATATACTATGATCGGCGCTGCTCTAAAGTGCTAGTGTCCCTTGTGCCATATACTAAAATTTATTCTTGTGCTACTCATCATTCAATTAAGTCTCATCCTTTTACTTTAACTGTTTCTAAGTGCTCCAAAAATTCTTAATTGTCTAGCTTTTTTTCTCAAACATCAGTTATTTGGAACTTGCTCCCTTCATCAGTTTTCCTGATTAATGTAATTTACAATGTTTAAAATTATCTGTTAATCATTATCTTGCTTTAAAAGTTTCATATTTTCTCTTCCAGTAACTTTCAAATTTAATAGTGGTTGTTTTTAGCCTTGTTGGAAATAAAGATGTTAAAAAAAAAAGTATGAATATTATTTAACTTCTAAAGTTATTTACTTATATGACTTTACTTTTATATAAGTATATAGTTATAGCACTTAAGTAAATATATAAGTAATAATATATAACAATACAAAATAAAAATAAAGAAATCTGAAGCAGAATAAAAATATTCATTGAAAAAAATTATTTTAAAAAATTATAAATTCTATTCTAAATAGTATTAAAAGTATACATACTAACGACATTTGTATTAAAATATAAACTTTACTTCATTATTATATATATTATACGTTTTTACTGCACACTTTGATTTAACTTTAAAAATTGTTAAAACGGCATCGTTATTTCAGGAAAGTTACATAAATATTTGGTGGCAGTGGCTATTACTAGCACATACAATAACATAAAATCACAATTAGGGAAGTACTATTTTATAGCAACACCTTTGTATAACTTTGAATAACCTAAATAAAACAACAACTTGAGTTTTTGTTGAAAACAAATAAATTAAAAAGGACAAAACTTTCTTAAGTTAAATTGTGCTCTGTGGTTCATGAGTTGTGCTAAGGCTTCCTAACAGGGCAGCCAACAAAAAAATTGGGTAGAATTTTTTTTATACAAGTTGTGTTACTTAGTTATTATTGAGATTATTATCCAACAGTAATTCTCATTTAACTGAATGACCAATCAAATTGATAAAAAAATGTGCTAAAATTGAAATTAATGAATCAATATCAGTAAAACTAAAAAGTTTTCAATTTTAATATTAAATTTAAAAAGTTAAAATTGATATTAAAACCTATAACTAAAACAATACTTTTATTTTCTTTGTTCTTACCAGGTATAACAAATGAATACGTTTTTTATATGTATTATTATTTTACATTTCATACATTTTAAAATTGGCTTTGCCTGACCTGAAACAAATAACCTAAGGTTATGTTCATCTGACCAGATTACTTTATTGATATATATTAAGTAATATATTTCATTAGGTTATTTTGTGTCAACATATTCAAAAAACATGATGAAACTTTTTTTCATAAAAAGGTTTGTCTAGAAATATAAAAACAAGCGATCAAGACTGCTTCAAATAATATAATTTCAAGACCCCTAAATGGCTAAAGCCCATTGCAATTCATGAGCACTTAATTTGCCCCTTGATATACAAAACATTTTTGCCTTAACTAGATGTTTAAAATATATATAATTTTTTAATATTTAATCAATCCTTCACATAAAATTATTATAACATTAGTTGTTCTGAAATATAACCAAAAATTCAAAAAGTCATTTTGAATATTCTTATTTGATTTTAATGATTAAAATTGTTGCTGTGAAAAATTTATATTGATGATTTAAATTTAAATTGATTTGAAATTTTACTTATTATTTCTTTATTTAATATATTTTGAATTTTTTGAAAAAATTTTAATTATATTAAATATTTCACACCTTGAAACACCTTTTGAACATAGTTTTCTTTATCGTGTATATACTTCTTTTTTTTAATATTTTCTTCAGCAACATTTTGTGCAGCAATTGTTAATTCTTCTACTTCTTTAACAAGCTCAATTATTGTTGGATGATCATTTATATTGGCTAAAAAAGAAAATATCATTTTATTATTTAATAAAACTTAACTTTAACTTGTACCAAAATCTAAAACTTTTATAATAATTAGCATTATTATTTATAATTAGCATTATTATTTATAATTAGGATTATTATTTATAATTAGCATTTTTATTTATAACTAGCATTTTTATTTATAATTAACATTTTTATTTATAATTAGCATTTTTATTTATAATTAGCAGTTTTATTTATAATTAGCAGTTTTTATTTATAATTAGCAGTTTTTATTTATAATTAGCATTTTTATTTATAATTCAAATTTTATTTATAAACATATTTTAGAATTAGAAAACAAAAACAATAATATAATATACAGATTTTGGTCATTTTTTAAAACCACTAAATTCAGATTGAAAACAATCTTGAGAGATTTTTTATTTTATAATTATATCATTAATAAAATAAAATTGTTACAATAATACAATAACTATCAGAGTTGTTAACAAACAAGTCCAAAAATAGCAAGACAAAAGGCCGCATATTCCAAGGTCAAAATTTTCAAGACCAAGGCCAAACCTATGCAAACATTTTCAAGGCCAAAAACTTACATTTTGGCCTTAAGTCAAGGCCAATTAATAACAAAACTGCAAGTACCACCTGCTGTAACAATAAAACCATATATTGCAAAATTATACCAAGGTTATGCGCAGAAATTACGAAGTCAATAAGAAAATAGATTTGGAGATTTATAAGAAAGCCAAAAACAAAAATACATAAAAATAAAGAGTTAAAACTTTTAACTATTTATTTTTATGTATTTTTGTTTATTTTTATTAAAAATATGTTGTTAATATTAGTTGTTAGCATTAACTATGTCATAAGCATTAACTACCACTATATAGTCTAAAAGTCTTTATTACATTTAAGAAACACCAAAGTTTCAAGCAACAAGTCAGACATATGAGCTCTATGAGGGAGCATTATTAACCCACTCTTAAAAAAGATATGTTTGACAGGAGCTGATGTTGCTGGAACACAGAAATACTTAACAAATAAAGTTCTAATTTTTGAATATTGTTTCATTGTGTACAGTTTTTTAAACAAAAACTCTTTTTGATTAAAATCTAGTGAATTTATGCATTCAAGATAGTTTGTCAGTTGCTGAGCGGGGTTGACAATGCTAATGTAAAACATGATTTTTTCTATAATTTGAAAAAAGGCATTTTTTTTATGGAGCTTTTAAATTTGAAGTGTAACACTTATTTTGTAAATCCTGAAGTTGTAATACGTGTTTCTGTAATACTAGAATGAAAATTAAAACAGTATTAAAAAAAAAGAATAAAAACAGTATAAATAAATACTTTAATAAACAAAAATTTAAAGAAAAACTATTTTAATTCAAAAAACATTCAAAACTCTGTTTATAAAAATTTTAGGAAAATTAAAATCTTTTTTTAAACTTTGAAATGTTTTAACTAATAACAAATATTAAAACAAATCATGTGACTTAATATATAAATATTAGAAATTTCTGTTAATTAACATCTCATTGATTATTGTTTTAAAATAGCTAATCAAAAACAATTTAAACCGTGAAAAAAAAAAAATTAATTTCTAAAACTTTCAAGTAAGCATAATAAACAAAATCAACTGTAGTAAAATTTTTAAAATGCAAACTCAAAAGTTCAGAATTCAATAAGAAAAGGCAGAAGGTCATGGCCAAAATGTTCAAGGCTAAGACCAAGACCAAAATGTTCAAGGCCAGCAGTTTCAAGGCCAAGACTAAGGCCTTAATTTTTGACGTTACGGCAAAACCAAGGCCAAGGACTAACAACTCTGATAATAATTTTTAAGGAAAAAAAACAAATCATTTAAGGTAAAGAAAGTATTTTGAATCTGGAGTCTTTATGTAATGTAGCTACCAGGGACTCCAGACTAAAAAATTTTAAGGCTTAAGAAAAAGGGTCAAAAAAGTTTAAGGCTTTAAATCCCCTGTATCTTTTTGAACATTAAAAATATTAATGATTTTAATAATTTTACCTTTAAAACAATTTTTTTTGTTGATGACCTAACTATACACTCTAGTATAAAGCAGACAGACATGACAACTCTTACTAGGTCCTATACTTTATGCCTTCTCAGATCCTTTACTACTGACATCTAATGGAAACTGCTAAACCTGCCTCTCTCTATTTTGTTCATCATTCACTCTATAAATTTCCTATTTATCCTGGCATTGTCTTATTTGGGATGTTTCTATTGATACTATAATAATTTTTCTTAAAACTTAAGTTAATAGTTGAAATCCCACCCTGGTGATAAAATCGTAGTTAGAGATTCAAATTTCACCCTGATTTAAAAAACTATTGTTAAAGTTTTAAATCCCACCCTGGTTATAAAACTTTAGTTAAATGTTTAAATCCCACCCTGGTTATAAAACCTTAGTTAGAGACTCAAGTCTCACTTTGGTTATAAAACCTTATTTAGAAGTTTAAATTTTACCCTGGTTATAAAAACAATATATGAGCCAGAGAAATTATTAAAGTTACTTATGACTAAAAAATAAGTAAATTTCTTATATTATAAAGTTAATTATGTTATAATGTAAATTAATTCAACCAAATTAGTCCAATAAGACTAAGTATGGCTAACAAGATGGATATTTTCTAGACAGCTCAAAGTCTTGAAAAACATTTAACAAAATAAATTTAACAAAAAAAGTTGAATTTCATTTGCATATTATTTTGTACAAGCAACCATAATAAGTAAAACCATATATTATATATTAAATATTTTCAGTGGCCGCTCATCAATAGGGGGCATAGAAGCTCTGCTCCACCTATACTTATTTAAAATAAAGTATTTCTTAATGTAAATATGTATTTATATATATATCAAATGCAACTATTAGCCTAAACTATTTGCAGACAGGTTTTATAAAAATAAATAATAAGTTTGTTCTAATTTTAAATTATTTTAATTTATAAGTAATATGTTTATTTTCAATTTATTTAAAGTTTCAATTCATTGCCAATAACGGCTGGACTGATTTTTACTAAACCCTATTTAATTTGTTTGTAGTAATATATTTTTTTGATGCACACGCAAAATTTGTTGTGCTTTTGGGTGGGACAAAAAAGCACACCACAGGACCTCATTGAACTGGCCCGAGAAGAAAAAACGTTTAAAAAAATCTCTAAGTTGTAAAGTTTCATCCACCATTTTTAAATCTTGATTTAAAGAGTGAAGAATTTACTGCTGTAAAAAGTCAGAAGTTTTGTTGACTCAATAAGGTATATATACAGCTTCAATAATTGATACTTCCAAAAAAGTACTAATTAAAAACATTTACAAAGTTTAGATTATTTAAAAATTGGACGTTTATCATTACCATAGAAATAAAAGAACCAGAATATTTTATTGAAATGTTTTATTTTTGGGTTAAAGCTGAAGCCAAAGAACTAAAACTATATAAACATTTAAGTACTGTTATGTATGCTTACAAAATGATATTAATTTTTTATCTTTAATTACATGAAATCATTAAAGCATCTTTGACAATGTAAATAATCTTGTGAAGTTTACTATTATTTATGACTGACATCGTAAAAGTTATATTTTAGAATCATGGATTTAGTTAAGTAAAGTATGTGTTGTATTATGAAAAAATTCTTTAAAAAAAATGTTTAAAAATTTTTTAATGTAGTAGAGGTATCTTTTTTGTTTTTGTTGACCCTTATATGATTCTCAGAAAACTTTATGTGGACTATCAAAGAGTTCATGTATATGTAATGTTACATTCTTTATTATTTTATTGATTGTTGATTAAGATTCTTCTGAACTCAATTACTGTTGATAAGAGATAGTATCTCACTGAGATTGATTAAGAGCCTTAACTCTGTTGATAAAATTTTCTTTTAAGTCAAAGTCATATTCTAGTTACAATATAGTTTAAAGTTATCTTATCTAAAGTTGATAGAGATTGTTTTGGTCACACCTGTGTCTACAGCTAAAGCTGAAGGGTGTTTTGATACTTTAAAAAGCTTTAGTATGTCAATAAACTTTTTCACTTTCAGGGCAGTTTTCAGTTAGTCTTTGCTAGTTTTTACTTAGGTTTGAAAGATTCAATGCCATTGAATACTTATACTTTATTTTGGGAGTTTGCTAGCACCTAACTCTCAACTTAACAAAAAATGCTAGCAATTAAAGTCTTCCTAACAAAGACCAAAGCATTAATTACAGCGAATCATTGAGATATTATTTAGTTAATATTTCCTGGCCCCACCAAAGTTTATTGTCACCAGCCACCAATGCGTATTTTATAATATTATATAAATTTTTAGTTTTGTTAACTCTTTAATAATTTTCAAATAATATTTTGCTTCAAAATTAAAATTAGCCAAATGATAGATAGCCAGACACCTGGATAGTTAGACTTTGTTTATTATAGTTTCATTTGGCAGTTTACCCTTCATTTAATGTTGATAATAAAAAGCTAAAGAAAAGATTTTTAGGTGTTGATATGTACAGAAATGCCTTATTTTTTGGACATAAACATTGATCCGTAAAATGTAAATTACAAATTAAAGAAAAAAATGAAGACCAGGTCTTTAATTCCATAACATCGTTCAATCACAACTTATAAATAAATAAAAAGGCCCTCAAAACACCTCTATGACTTATTTATAGTACACCATTACATATAAGTATCTGCAGACATGTGATTTTTTTTTAAACTATGTCCCTAAATACTTCTCCATACATTACTGTAAGTTCTATTCCCACCACATTCCTAGCATTACCATGCTTAACTTGTATATTTGGTAAGAAAATATATAAATAGCTTAAAACATTGACTGATGAAAAAATAAATTATGACAAAAATGATTTATATATATATATATATATATATATATATATATATATATATATATATATATATATATATATACACACATATATACATATATATATATACATATATATATATATATATATATATATATATATATATATTATATATATATATATATATATATATATATATATATATATATATATATATATATATATATATATATATATATATATATATATATACACACATATATACATATATATATATACATATATATATATATATATATATATATATATATATATATATATATATATATATATATATATATATATATATATATATATATATATATATATATATATATATATATATATATATATATATATATATATATATATATATATATATATGGTCTGGGTTAGCATAAACTATTCCATTAAAAGCACTACATAATATGTATTTAAATAATGCATAGAGATATTTAAATAATGCATACTGATGGGTTTTTAATATTTTAACAACTGATGATTAGCTTTTTTGTTTTTTCTCCAAATAGTGCAAATGTTACTAACAAATTAAATAACTTACATGAAGTTAGTTCTTCAGTTTCCTTTTGATATTTCTTTATTTTGTTCTTATATTGCTTCACTCGATCTGAATGAAAAAATAATTTTAATTATTAAGTAGTATTTACCAGATACATGCACCTTGTACTGCGTCTGGTGGAAAAAAAAATCATTCATATAAATTTATTAGGTTTTGATGTCAATAGAAGATTTTGAACAAACTAAAGGAACATATTTAAGTTTGAATGACAAAAGGATTGTCGTGTGATAAGTATATGCTATGCAATCTTTTTTATCTATTTGTAAACTAATTACAATTTTACCAACAAATACTTCAATTAAGGGTCTTAAAACATTAGCTTTTTATCGTTCAAATTAAATTATTTAAATTAGTTACAAATTATATACAATTTATGTCAATAATCTAATTTAAACTAAAACTACCAACCAACAACTGTTTTAATAACAACTGCTGCATTGCACTGTTAATGATTTAAAACTAATATCTTCTCAAACAGAAAATATTTCTTGTTTATAACTACAGATAATGGTAACTAACATAGAACTATTAAGTTTAAATCAGAATTATAATAAAAGTGTAAAGAAAAATTATTTTGATCATACATACAAAAATGCAAGAAAAAAAAAAATCAACCTTCTAATTGCAAGTAATTTTCCTCTCTATTTTCCTTGATTTCAGCTAAAAAATACTTTAATTTTTTGATCTCATTTTCCACTTGCTCAAACATTTTCTTCTTTCTTGTTACACAAGAAAAATATAAATGTTTTATGTTATCTATATGTTGTTTTCAATATAGTGTAAAAAATCAATTACCAAAATATAAATTATACCTTATTTATATGTATTTTATATATATATATATATATATATATATATATATATATATATATATATATATATATATATATATATATATATATATATATATATATATATATATATATATATAATATATAATATATAATAGAATATTATTATTTATTATGTATAAAAGCTATATTATAACATTAGAATATTATGAATTTATTATATATTCAAAGTATCTTATTAAAAATACTTAAGTAAAAAAATTAAATTAATTTATAATATAACTTAGTATTTTATTTAAATTTATATTAGTTTATGTTGTTTTACAAAGATTGTGATCTATATATTATCTTGAGATCAGTAGTTTATTTAAAAATAAAATAAACATATTTCAAAAGTTGAAGTTTTCATAACTACTAACCTAATTGCTTTTAACTACTAGTACTAAAAATTTTATTGAAATAAAACTCTAATACGATATAGATACAATAGGTTTTACACAACCCAAAAGATTATCATTCACCTAGAGCAGATTATTATAATTTTCTAGCAAAACTAAAATTTATGTTAAATTTAAAAAATGTTTTTTAAAGTCAATAGCTTTAGAAATGAACACACTTTTTTGATCATTGTCCTAAGAATTGATTTTCTTTCCTTATACCTTTAAAAATGTATATAATTTTGATTAAACCGTCAAGCTGAGTAATGGAAATAAACATTTTCAAGACATTCAATTTTCAAAGACATTCAATTTAATTTACTACAATGAATCGTATGGAGAAAAATCTCCAATTACAATGATCGCTCTTTTAATTATTATACTTTCGAAAAAAAAAAAGATTTTGGCAATATGTATTTTTTGTGAAATGTACTTTTTCAAAGAGGTACATTATAGTAAAATTTTTATTAACAAATTTGTTTACTATTTTTCTTTAAAAACGTGTCAAGATTAAAAAATGCGTTTGAAACACTTGACGTTAATGTTTCAAAGAATTTTTTTCAATCTTAATCTATTCTAATATTAAATATTATTTTTCAAAGACTTTATTTTTTTTTTAACGTTAAATTTCCCAAATAACATACTTTCGCTTCTATGGGGTATAAATGATTTTGAAACCAGCATTTCACGCGCGAAACAAGAATTTTTTCTTTATTCTTTTTTATTTACGCTTAATAGTTCATTTTGACCTAGGGGTATAAATGACCGGCATTTTACGAATTTTTTATTATTTTTTATTAATACACTTATTTTCTTATTTATACACGCTTAATGGTTCATAAACTAATGGTTCATAAACATAATGGTTCGAAAGCCCCTTAATAAATTTAACATAGCTCATTGTTTGAAAAGAAGAAATTAATTTAAATAGAGTGCTATATAAAACTTTAATAAAATTGGAAAATGCGAATTTTTGCCCCTTAAAATTATTTTTCTCTATATGGTCTGGATCAACCAAACAAACAAAAAACTTAAAAACTACCCCGCTCCCCTTTTCCCTCCCTAAGACTAAATAGTCTGGATCCGCCCCTTGGTATACTTCACTGCGTTTCTCCGTGTTCAAATCAATTAATGTATGTACACTCTACTGCACCTATAAGTCTATATGAATATTGTTGCGATAACGATTAGCTGAAAAAATTTTATTTGATAATGTTGTATTAAAGATTGGGAAAATAGGGAAGTAGTCCGATATGTCAGTTTTTATATTTTTGGGAGTAGTTATTAAAGAAATCTCCAGTTAAAATATTATCAATGAGGGTGGCAGAATTTTTTGTTACTCTAATATGGATGATTGATTAGCAGAGTTGGGCTTGCTAAAAAAAAATTAAATCGTAAAAACTTCTCACTTTTTTATCATCGTTATAAATAAATATATATCATCATTATATCATACCACGAGTCCCCAATCCTCAAAAGTTTTTTTCTTTCATTGTTAGGGGTCGTCAACAAATTACGCTACACAATTTTTGAATATTTAAGACTTCTTCCGCTCCTCTCGTCGTTACATCGTAACTCTTTATAAAGAAGTATAATTCATCAGCGTGACATAATTTATGGACGACCCCTTACATGATTGAATTATATTATGTTGCAAATAAGAATTAACCCGAACCCTTATATTTTCTGTTAATGAAAATCTCTAAACATATTGCCGATGTTGAGAACATTTTATACAGGCTTTAACAATATCTGCTGATATCAAACTGTCAATATCTTTTGCTGTTTCTAGTATATCTGCATTTACCAAGTGCAATAAAATATGTACATGCGGCAAACCACGCTTTTGAAACTCAATAACCTGCGCATGACTTACAACTTTGCTTAAGACTCCATGCTTAAAAATATCTTCTAAGAAAAATTTAAATTTCATTTTAAATACCCGACAAACTAAATCAGGTTTGTCATTAGCAGTTTAGCCAGGGTTTAAATTTTCTACTATTTCTCTCCATGTTGGATTCAGGTAAAAGTAATGAATAAATCTGGATTACCATATTTCTTTATGACTGCCATCGCATCTTCAAAGTTTTCTTTTAGTACTCTTGGACTACCAACATATGAAGAAGACAATATAACAACGCGGCCTGGCCTTACATTAAGATCATTAGCACAATTAATTACATGTTCATGCAATGCATCATTTTGTTCACTTCAAGTTTGTTTTGGTTATTTCTAATAAAAGCAAGACGCTGTCCCTCAACTTTGACATATGCATCAACAAAGTATTGCTGAAAAAGTTTTTCACCATAGAATATAGGACTAAAAGTTTGTCTAACCGCAAGCCTATAATTATAATAGAGACAAAATAACATGATTTCTAACACAGGTTGCGCGGTCAGAGTTGTGCTCCAGTTGATTGTGCCATATAGCATCACCTCTCCGAAAAAATATTGGATATACCATAGGATCTAAATTTGCAGACATAGAAGAAATTTTTTTTAAAGGCTGACCTCGAGGGTATATAACAACTTCCCTGGATGCAGGTGGAGTACCATCATGTCCCACAAACACAATAGCGACCTCCTCATGGGAAGGAAGATTGTATCAACGTCTCTCATGACCTTCAAGCAAAGACATTCTTACAACAGAAGTTGGTCTACCTTCTTAAGCTGCTCGGCATATTTCTTCATCCTCTACTTCTGCCATGTTTTTAAATGCAAGAGCAAATGGGTTTTCTTGATTAATTAATGTTTGCAAAAGTTGCATTAACTCGCGTATACAACCATCATTACCAGGTTGCTCCATTCTGAATGACACTGCTGCATTAGGATTATAGATATATAACTGGCAATATTTGAGAAAATTCTGCAGGCCTCAAATTTCCAATATGATGCCAAAATTTGCCCACAGACCCTAAAACAGAAAGGGCTATTATTTGAGGGAGGAGCTAATTTAGCAGTGAAGAAATCAAAAGATAAAGAGGAATTATATCCCAAGTAGCAAACAATATTGGCGTAGTATTGGCACGATATTGGGTATCTTGTCTAATCTTGGCCAAGATATCCGATATTGCGCCAATATCGTCAAGCAATATTACGCCAATATTGTCTTACCAATATTGGCAAACAATATTGCGCCAATATTATCCATTACCGTTTTACTAATATTGTTATGCCAATATGGGACCAATATTATCCCATTATCGATTTACTGATGCTGTTATGCCAATATGGGCAAAATATTGGCTTTATATAAAATTTTACATATTAGTACGCATGCGTAATATTAAGGAATATTCATAATGTTCTTTAGTTTTGTAAATGGGTTGTGTTTAGATCATATCCCATTAGGAACGATTATTTATATTTGCGTATTTTTAATTGCAAGGTAGATAAAAGCTTAAAAAGCAAGCGAGATAAAAACAATAGTTAAATTTTCGGCAAATCCGCGTTACTAGGTAGGCTCTCTTGACAAAACGTTATTCCGACGCTGTCCTTAAGGTCCGAAAATGTAAATAAACGACTTTTTTATTTAAAAGAGAACCTGCCTACTCCAAACCCTCAGTCGTTGTTTCCACACTCCGCTGCATGTTCTCTCTAAAAATCAATCGGTGTATGTGCACACCACAGCGCAAATCCCTATATACCCCATTTCGCCTATTTTCTAGAAATACAAGCTCGCGGACGCAAAGGACGCTCAACGTCGGAATAGGGGTTTGACAAGAGAGCCTACCGCGTTACTAGCATTGGCTATTCGGATATTATTAATTTTAACACCAAATATTTATTGTTGAGATTACAAAAAATATGAATAAATTTCTTCAGTAAAAAAAATGTATTGTAGATACGCGGTATAATCCAATGCTAGTTACGCGGTTTTGCACTATTTCCGACAATTTTGTTTTCTAAATGACATTGAAGTGTTATTAAATTTACCTTAAATAACGGTGCTATTTAATAAAAATATAGAATAACAATAAACAAAACTAACAATGAGCAATGTTTAAAAATGATTTGAGTACCAAAAATGCACTATATACTGCTTAAAATAACGATCTCTAATTTTAAATAAACTTTTTTAGGGTAAAATCATCAAATCATGGCCGCTTAATTTTAAACTGCTTCATGTTACCGCGAATCGCTTAGATTCTTAAAAATATTTCTAAACTCTTAAAAAACCTCTTGAGATACAATTTATGACAAGTTTGGAAGTTTTTGTTAATAAGTTAACAAGTTTTAGCACAAATATTAGAAGGCGTGAAAAACATCAAATCTTGGCCAGAGATCCAAAACATGGCCATTGCGAATTTATTCCTGGCCATTAAGTTTTACAAAGTAAAAATAGTGATAATACTTTTAAATTTAAATTAAAAACAAAAGAAATTATTTGTAAAGAGTTTAAAAAAAGAAGTTCTGCAACAATTTTTACTCATATAAATTTAGTTCTTTTTTTAACAGGTAAACAAACAATAGATTTTAAAGCGCTTCACAACATTTAATGTTTTCAAATTAGCAAATGTCTTCAAATAAATAAAAAC